TACAATTTTATACAAAAAATTTCATGAAGCAATTCCGACAGGTCCTAAGTGTGACGTGCTCTGTCCTTCTCTTGAAGTAAATCTGTTCTGTTTGTTCAATTCTTAAACAATGAGGTCCTGACTCTCTCATTTGGGGGGGTTGCCCGAATAGTGAAAGCACTCATTGGGTGTAACAAATTGGAGATTTGTTTGTTGCTTTGGACAAAGGAATTTTGACAACCTCCTTCCTCTTTTGCATACACCCCTCTGCCTAAGGACATGATGTTATCCTTTCATGAATGACTTTTCCCATCCAAGCTGTCTGGTTCTATTTATGAAAGAAATAAGTAATTTATCTGTCTCCAGGAGACTTTCACTCTCATTTACATGCAGGGTTACACCCCAGGATAGAGTGTGCTTCTTGAACCTTCCTAGGGACACAGGACTCCAGCTAGTCCTCAGCCAAGGGGGAGTCTTGAATGTGACGAAACTGACCGTGTCTGCAAGAAAAATTCTTTAGGTCATCTAGAGGTTCTCCCACAGGGCTCCTACCTGTGAGTAAATAGTTTTTAAAACAGCACTCTTTTCCTTCAACCATGGAAACTTTGCTAGATTTGGTGGTCTCAAACCTGTAATGTTTGAGGGCAGTCGGGTTTGGTGAGGTGGGCTTGATGAGACTTTCCGAGTGGAGGGGATCCCATTTGAGTATCGTGCTGGTCAGATCTGTTGGGGTGTGGAGGGACCTTTGGGAATGTTTGAAGGTTGTTTGTACGCTGCCACGTGATAGACACCTGCTAACATTGTTGCTCTTAGGTGTGATGAGGAGTAGGAACAAAGCTCCTTCTCCTGTGTGTAAGAGAAGGCAGGACTTCTCTTGACACAAGTGACAAAATTTTCTTCCCCTGACCACAAAAATTGTTGCTGTTTATTTCACCAATAAATCCTGTACGTACTGATTTTCCGTTACATGGTAAATCTTACGCCGGGCGTTGTGGAGGCTGGAAACAAAGAGATGTGGTCTCTGCCCTTGAGAGGCTTATGATCAGTCCTTAGGGAGAAGAGAGGTTAAAACAGAACTCTCGGGACGCCTGGGTGGTTAAGCAGCTGCCTTCGGCTCAGGTCATGATCCCAGTGTCCTGGGATCGAGTCCCACATCGGGCTCCTTGCTCTGCAGGGAGCCTGCTTCTTACTCTCCCTCTGCCTGCCACTCTGTCTGCCTGTGCTCGCTCTCTCTCCCTCTCTCTCTGACAAATAAATGAATAAAAAAAACTAAAAAAAAAAAAACAAAAAGCAGAACTCTCGTGAAAAGTCCATAGTGCCTCTGTCCATGCTGAATGGTATGCTGCTGAGCATGAGGGGAAAGTGAAATGGTCAGACGAGTCAGGAGTTCAGACCTGCCTCGTGGTCTATCAGAGAACCTCCATGTTAGAAATTAAAGACTGGGGACGCCTGGGTGGCTCAGTTGGTTGGACGACTGCCTTCGGCTCAGGTCATGATCCTGGAATCCCGGGATCGAGTCCCGCATCGGGCTCCCAGCTCAATGGGGAGTCTGTTTCTCCCTCTGACCTTCTTCTCGCTCATGCTCTCTCACTGCCTCTCTCTCAAATAAATAAATCTTAAAAAAAAAAAAAAAGAAATTAAAGACCGCAGTGAGGAGGCAGCAGGGGTCTGTTTGTCTGGAAGATTCTACTCTGTAACCTGTGGCCCTCAGGATTTGTTTAACCTGCTTTGTGTTGATTGAACTTGGGTTTCAAGACCTCCCATGCATCATGGGATTCACCTGAGGCCTTGGGAAGAGGACTTAATTGAAGGACTGTGACTTCTGAGTCTTGGTATGTTAGCTCAGGAAACCATAGCAAAATATCCTAGGCTGGCTGGGTTAAATAATAGAAACGGATTTCTTGCAGTTCTAGAGACTGGAAGTCTAAGATCAAGGTGCTGGCAAAGGAAGTTTCATTGTGAGGTCCCTTCCCTTGGCTTGTAGGCTACTGTCCTCTGCCATGACCTCTTTGTGGAGAGTGCTCTGATCTGTCTTCTTACAAGGACATTTGTGTTATCGTGGGAGCCCTACCCTCATGCCCTCATCCAGACCTTACATCCCAAATGCCCCCCTTCCAAGTAATATCACAATAAGAGTTAGGGCTTCAGCATACAAACTTCATGGGGTACAAGCATCCAGTATATAACATTTGGTATGTTCAGATTCTGTGGTGGAATGGAGAAAGGGAAAAGCACGATAGAGCTTCCCCCTCCGCTGCCACCTTTGAGCTTTGCGATAGACAGAATGCATCCTAAATACTCCCATTTGATGTGTTTGCTTCTTACAAGGTCACATTAATTTCAACATTTTTGCCATATTTGAAGTTGAGGCTCTGAATGTGAAATTGGACGGCTGCCATAGTGTTGTGCCCCAAATTATGTATGGACTACGAAGACCTCTTGAATGCGTGTGCCTGAGAAATGTACGCTCTGCTAGCCAGTCCTATAATGTATCCATCAGCTTCCATTTTTCATCTCCTATACGTGTATTACAGAGGCCACTTTTCGATTCCTTCCCAGATAACTGCCTCATCCTGACTTAAGGACTGTGGAGAGTTCTTGGCACTATATCCCTCCTTTGAGTCCTCCCTTCAGTATTTCCAGTGACCTCTTCCTTCTTGAGCCTACTTCTCTGCCTCTTCATTGCCCAGAAAGCCCTCAGTTAAGTAGCCATGAGTTGTTTGTGTTTTTATTTTTCTGGCTCTGGACCAGGAGGAGCCATGCCTGGTACATTCATTTAAGATAAGCAGGGCTGGGCTGTAGTTAAGTGTTTATAAGGAATGTTCCAAGGAAAATGGTGTGCGGGAGAAGGTCAGACGGGGTGAGTACCCTCTGAGCCAGTATCAGAAGACGCCCCAGCTGTGCTGGGTGAGGTAGTGCTTGAACTGTGGGAAAAGGGTCCCATTGCCTCCGTCATGGTCATGGCCACTGAGCTTCTGAGGCTTTTCTTCCAAGTAAAGCAGGGACCTGGGCAAATTCCAAGGAAAGGGACCCTATTCATTCAATGTCAATTTTTCTTTGCAACATTCAGTTTCTTCTAGTGCTTTGCCAAGGGGGTCTGTGGAGGCAGATCTGTTCTTCTGGATGACCCAACCTAAGTGCCACTGCTCAGGTCGTTACAGATGTCCTAATGATTATATGAAGCCATAGATATGTGAATGGAAGATGTGTAGGGTTTATTAGTCCAAAGTTCTTGATTTCAGGTGAAGAAAGCAAGGCCCACAGGGATGGTGTGTTGTGTCCCTAAAAAAAGCTGGAACTATATCTGGGTCTCCTGACTCCCACTCAAATCACTGTGCTACTCCTTGTGCCCTAGCTGGGAAAGCTTTTATATTTTTACTTATTTTTTTCATGGTTGAGATACATTTCCTTTGAGGATTGCCTAGTATCTTAGCTAAATCCGGGGAATTTTATTTTTAAAGTTTTTATTTATTTGACAGATCACAAGTAGGCAGAGAGGCAGGCAGAGAGAGGGGGTGGGAAGCAGGCTCTCTGCTGAGCCGAACGTGGGACTCGATTCCAGGACCCTGAGATCATGACCTGAGCCGAAGGCAGAGGGCTTAACCCACTGAGCCACTCAGGCACCCCTCCATCATGGTTTTGTTACTGTGTTTTACATCTTAAGGCTTCTACTAGTAGTAAAAATAAAGATTAATAGTACATTTTTATGGTAGGTTGTGTGTTTACCAAAGGTCCCTCAATAGGAAGCCAGGAGACAAAGTCTCCGCCATGCCACTAAGAAGCCAAGAGCATCTAGTAAGAGATCTGTGTCCCTTGGACCCTGATTTCTTTGTCACAAAAGGGTGAGTTAAATGATTTGAATTCTTTTGTAGCTCCCCAATTCAAGATCATTCCTCAAGGCAAGATACCCTGCTCCTGGAATCCTTGTGATTTGGTTGTGGATTTGACCAAACTCTGCCACAGCTGTTGATATGTTCAGTCCAGAAGTGTCTGGCTTGCTTGTTAAGACTCTGAGGGTCATGAGTAAGAGGCTGCCCGCCTTGTATTAAAAAACTCACTAGCAAGATTATGCAATTTGGGGATATAGGGGATGTCCAGAATGCTTTCATCCCTTTTCTCAAAATTTTGTTGTGATGAAAGTCCCCAGCTCAGCATTTGGCACGTAATAGCTACCCAGGAGTGTAGATCCCCCTTCCCTCTCGGTGTCACTTGTGGAGGCCAAGGACGGCTCTTGGTTAAGTTTTTCTGATTGCTCGGGGCAAGATCTCCAGTTGCCTTAAGTGAAACAGGCTTTGAGGCATTCTCCCATGGTTCTGTGCTTGACCACTTTGACCCACCTTTGGTCCTTTTCTGGCTGCTCTTCAGAACTGTCTGACTTCCCCAGGCTGTCGCTACATGTTTTAGAGTTGTTCCTTTTCTCTGTACTCCCCCAAACTTTCCTGTCCTGTGTTCCCTCAGGTTGTAACCGTTCTTACACATGACAGCCAATGACTTCTTGCTCCCAATCCTATACGTGTATGCATATACATCTACACTGACTCACGAGGGAAGGCAACACCATCTACAAACTCAGTCTGTAACAAATCAAAGAAAAACAGTAACTTCAAAGCTCCCACCAGATGCTAAGGAGTGATGAACTTTTTGTTTAGGAAAATACCAGATGGAATATTTTTGCTTAAAAAAAAAAAGAAGTGAAACCTCCTGGAATGATCTACAGAAGAGGAAACCAAAGTGCTGAACTACTTTGTGTAATAAAATTGAGGGACTGTGAGCTTTCTTGGGTGGAAGCTGGTGGGACATTGGTAAGGAATCCCTGGGTTTATGACAGAAGGAATGATGGTGGAAAAGTTGAGTCAGATACAGCAACATAGAAAATTATTGATGACTAAGGGAAGTGGACAAACTGGGCAGTGGGAATCCCCTATGTAGGACAGAAGCTTCAAGAACAGTGATGTCTTAGGACTCAGTGGCAAACTTTTCTTTAGTAGGAGCCGTAGTCTCCTATTAAACTTTACTGAAAGGTTTGGTCCACGAAGTAGGGCAGATCATTGCTTTGGGTATAGAAAGAAAGTGGGAGGGTAGTGGCCACAGGTGAGGGGATGGGTTGAGGAAAAGGCCAGTCTCTGCAGGAAGCAAGATGGTGGGTGGGACGGAGAAACTGGCAATCGTGGGGATTTAGAGTGAGGTAAACCAGGAAAACCTGCTTCCTGGATGCCTCAGAAATCAGGGAAGTGGGTTTCTCACCATGTGTTAGATAGTAGCTTGAGTTACTGTATTTGAATGTTTGTGGAAAGAATGACCTTTACATAGCTGGTAAACTAGGAGATCCTGAAATTATAGAAATAGGCATGTGCACACACAAAATGTACAGAATATACAAAATGATCTGGCTTCAGGTATACATTGGAGGACATGGTGTACTCTTATGCCCAAGTCCACAGTTGCACAGTGAAGTCCTACATGGAGCTTTAAAAAATTACTTTGCCCTGTCTACCCCCAAGTGTTTGTTTGTCTCAGTTGGCCAGGGTGAAGCCCAGGCATTGATTTTTATTAGAAATCAACTATTCACTTATGAGTTCATCCAACAAAATACTGAGCACCTACTCCATACCAGGTACAATGTTAGGTGATTTGCTGGAGTGGACTCCTTGAGGATAGGGTCTTGTCTTGCTTATTATGGATCCCAGGCATTGTCTGGCGCAGAGAAGGCATGTATGGTCTTGCTGAATTCTGACAACTATGAAAGTGGGACTCCATTATCCCCATGAAGCAGGGCTGGTGGTAACTTTGGGTATTGGAAGAAAGTGGGAAGGCAGTGGCCAAACGTGAGGGGATGGATGGATGGAGGAAACAGAGCAGCCTCCACAGGGAGCAAGATGGTGAGTGAGATTCAGAGAGATGAAGTGACTTGTCCATGTCCTATAGTTAGTGACTGGAGTGATGGCATTAAGATTGTCAGATCTGGTCTGTGTGATTCCAGATCCTCCTCCTACCACATCATGCTGCCCCTCCATTTGGGGTGGCCATCGTTCCATTCAAAGAGCCTTCTACAGCAAGGTAGTGAAAGTCCTCAGTTGACTCCTAGTACGCAGGTAGGATTGAGAATAATAGACCAATTGTTCTTTTGAGATAAAAATCTAGTTTTGATTCAAACCAGTAAAATACATTGGAAGTCTAATTTCCTCCTCTACTAGGGCTAATATTATCTGCCCAGTCTACCTTGTGACTTTGGAATGAAACCATATAGTCCTAGTTGAAACAGTTTTTGATAGAGGTAAGAAAGCTTTATAAAAGTGTACAGTATTTTTTTTTGCCCTTCGTAGTCCCACTGAGTCACACTTGTGAAGGGTTGTGTATGTGTAGGTTTGTACACCTAGCTACAGAGAAACCTAAAGACGTGTATACACAGATGCACATGTATGCATGTGTATTTCCAGCATCCCCCTGTCCTCTGGGGGCAAGGGGGTGCGAGGGCAGTGCTTAGACCACGGGTGTGTAAATCCCAGGGCAGCAGCGACCTCAGCCTTACCATAGCACTGCCAGGGCTTCCTGACCCGTTCTTGGGGTGATGGAATGAGTTTCATGTCTTGTTTCTGTTTCTGCCCTTGGATGTCTTCTGTGGAAGTCCTTTCCAGGTATAGGATCTAAAGGGGAGGGTAGCATAGGAGATGGGGTGCCCTGGAGAGCCATGGCCACTTTCCCAGCTCTCAGATGAAAGTATTTCATACTGATGTCCAGTTTTTTAGAGGGGCTATTGCCAGGATTGTACTCTCAGAGAACGGGTGGTGGCCCTTCTCAATGGCCATCTTGAATTCTTCCTAATCCTTGTTTATCTCCTTCCCCACGTTGAAAAGTTCAGGACGGAAGGTGTTCTGGGCACCTCCTTCCTGCTCTAGGGAAGGGAATCTCTTCCCAGGCCTTGGACTCTCCCCAGCGGGGAAGGACTGCCAGCTCTTACAAAGGCTTTGCTGTGCGCACGTTGGAACTGGGCTGGCCCAGGAGGGGCATGAGGCCCTGTGGTGCCAAAGAGGAAGCATTCCCAGGAATGGTTGAATGGGAGGAAAGGCTGTGAGTGGGCGTACTGTCAAGTCCGAGGAGGGGGTTCCAGTAAAAATGCAAGAAGTATGTTGTATTTCTCAACAGCCTAGGATGTACTTCCCATGTGGGCCGTCCTCAGGGAGGATTAAGTAATCTGGATTCAAGAACCTGGTTTTACTGCCCAGATAGCTTTTCTTTGAGAGCTCTTTCTCCTCCCCCCACCCCCATCTCATGTTTTTTTTTTTTGTGGTACCTGAGGTCTGAGGTTGAATCTGGGATATGGGAAGGTTCCTCTGGGTCCTGTTCAGTACAGGCTGGAATTTGTCTGAAGTATTTCAGGGAATCCGTGAGATCTTACAGTAGCAAGGGACCGAGATAACACATGTACTTTCATTCTCTTTATTAGTTAGAAAGTGGTATGAAGAATTATATTATTTGCGAAGTTTTGGTGGTCCTGTTGTGCTGTCTTGATTTCTGCTGAGTGTGTGTGCGTGTGTGTAGAGAGGAGAACCTCCACACTGAATTTAGGGTCAGAAAGAAAGATTCTGTAGATTTGAAAGTGTGGTTGCTGAGGGGCATGGGGGGAGGAAAGCACAGCAGGTGCACCAGTGTTAGCGGCACAGACCAGAAGAAGTTGGGGTTGGAGCAGAAGGAGAAAAGTTGGCTGCGTCTTCTTTTAAAAGCTATTAACGATGACTTTTCAGTGGGAAGAGATGGTAACTTAAAATCTCTTTAAGTCCCTTACATTCAGTCATTAGATATTAGTTCCTTTGGTTGAAACCCTGTCCTTTCACTTCCATTCTCACGGAAATATCGATGTTTCTGGAAGGGGTAACATGTTAAGCCATCTCTTCCTCTTTCTGTTCATTTTGTGTGCTAAAGGCGATTCATAAATAACCCACCACAGTTTACAAAAGCCTTTCAGATCCACTGTGGTGTTTGGTGCCCTCGTGTTTCTGTCCGGGAGCTGGATGAAATTCCAGCTCTAATGAGTATCCCAGGAAATGAGAACTCAGAGAAACTTGAAAGTCCTGGTCTCCTTGAAGCCCCATCGCTGGCCCCGTGCATTAAATCAGAATGTTGAGAGAATGGTAGCTTCTTCTGTTAGAATATTTGTTTCTTCAGCTCCTCTCAGCAAAGTGACCCGTGAGGGCGAGTTTGAAGTCTAGTATGTGAAATGCTCAGGAAAGATGTCCGCCAAGGCCGGTGTGTGGTTGCTCTTCTGCGGCGGGTTTCTGGCGCCATCTAGTGTTTCGTTGAAGTCATGGCCGGTGCTCGGCTCTCGCTCTTAGGAGGGCAGTGGTTGTAGTCAAGTCAGTCTTAGGGTGACAGAGTGGTTTTCTCAAACTGGAGTCTGTGGGTCATTGTATTTCTTTCTAGAGGTTTGCGAGAATTATTTTCTTCACCAATTTCTTTAGGATGGGGAAGAAAGACCTGATGAGCAAATCCACAGCCTGCCTTGTTCTATCCATGAGGTAGGAAGTAGTTGCATATTAACAGGTACACAGAGAACAATTATTGACCCCCCAAGAAGGGACCCTTCTAATGACCCTGAGCCATATAAGGCTAGGGGCCAAGTTGGCCTAGGAGGCACCTGCTACAGAGGGGGCACCAGTAAATATGCATTTGGGCCATGACTGATGGCGTGATTTCAGGCACAGTGACACATGCAGGAGGAAGACCGCAGGGTCTTAGGGAGTGAGGGATTCTTATTCCCATAGAAGCAGGCCGGGGGGTTGCTGTGTGTCTTTAAGATACAAGTACCACCCTGGTCCTTCTCTAGAAAGAGGGCTGAATTTTGTTTCTAAAAGATAAGACATATGGTGAGGTAAGAACATTTTAAGGCCTGAAACAGCATGTTAAAAACCCATCTATAGGGGCGCCTGGGTGGCTCAGTGGGTTAAAGCCTCTCCCTTTGGCTCAGGTCATGATCTCAGGGTCCTGGGATCGAGTCCCGCATCGGGCTCTCTGCTTTCTCCTCTCTCTGCTTGCCTCTCTGCCTACTTGTGATCTCTGTCAAATAAATAAATCTTAAAAAAAAAAAAAACCACAAAACAAAGCTTTACAAAGAGAAAACCATCTATAGACCCCATCCTTAATATCTCCAATTAGGGTTAGGGTTAGGGTCAGGGACCTTAACTGAGGGAGAGGGTGTGCATGAACCCTGATTTTAGAATAGTTCCCATTAGAGCAGAACTTCCCAAAATACAACTCTTGCCTCTAAGGGTGAGCTATGGAAGACCTACTTGGAAACAAATTGTTTGGTCTTTAGACATTTGAAGTCTTGCTGTTGGTAACTACGTGTAAGGCGTCAGCAAACATCCCTTGTCCTAGATTTTACCTGGCTTCTTACTGTTGAGCTGCGGTGGGGGCATGTAGCCGTGTCAGCCAAGGTTAGATCTAATCTGCACAGGGAAAGTCATGTGCTTTGAGCCTCCTGTTAGGAAATGAGAATCAATCTAATAAGGCAGCATCTACAGGCCTAAGATAAGACTGACGATACTTACCCTTCATTTCTGTTTCATTTTCTCATTTGCTTTTAGCAACAGCTGTGTGCATGAAAATTTGTGTGAGTCAAAATATGCTTTCACATCTGACTATTTAAAGGAAACTATGGTTGGTTCTTCTGAAAAGCAAAGATCTTTTTGTAGAAGAAAAAACCCTAATGGTTCAGCTTGATCTAGGAGTTAGCTAGGCTATGTTCATTAAGGGACTCTTATTACAGACATGTCGTGTTTGGGGGACCACAGAAATTCATATAGTCCTTGAGCAAGGGATGGACTGGCTTGTAGATATCTCTCTTTTTTTCTTTTTAGAGTGTGTGAGGCTGGGAGTGGGGAGGGGAAAGAAGGAGGGGGAGAGGGGGAGAGAATCCTAAGCAGGCTCCACACCCAGCATGGAGCCTGAGGTGGGGTGGGATCTGACAACCTTGAGAGCATGACCTAAGCCAAAATTAAGTCAGACATTCAACCGACTGAGCCACCCCAACGTCTCAGCCTGTAGATCTTCATTACAGCAAAAATACACATCCCTTGACTTACAAAATTACAAATCATGAATAGTTTTCCAGATTAACCCTCCAAAATTAAACCTATGATGTAGGTTAACTAATACTTGTAAAGAAACAAGTGAAAAGAGTACTAGAATATTCAATCATAAAGGAGATAACAAACTCAAGAGTGTATTTTTGGTTATCATTAAGATGTTTGCATAAATGCACAGTCAGAAATACGAAGACTTTTGTAAAGATTGAAGAACATCAGATATTTGAGAGGTTGGTGACAGATTCTTTTGTCTAAATGTGTAGCATTGTGTTTGAGTAGATCTATCTTAGTGTTTACTTTATCGAGTGTGGCCATTTCTCCCCTGAGCATTGAAACAGTAAAAAAAAAGATTCTTCTGGACTTAATAAGATCTAGAAGATGAAGTAATAGAGTTGGGAAAAAAAAAATTAAAGAAATATCTTGATGTTAGCATCTGGCCTGTAGGTAGAGGAATTTAAAAAATCAGCTCATGAGTTGGCACAACTTCCTGATTCCTGAAGGAAGGGAGTCTGTGTGCAGTGGTGCCCATGTTGGCTGACAATTATTTATGTTCAAAGGAAAATAGCATTTTATTTAATTACTTTTGAAAATCATTTGCAATTTTTCCCCCTCATAGCAACATGCTACAGTGGTTTGGGAAAAGAATTTCAATTCAGGAAACTTCTTTAAAATCAAAATCGAACCCCACTCTTCAAGCCCCTTTAGAATTGCTGTTTTGAGTTCTACACCAGTGATGCAACTAGCCCGGGCTTCTCAGGGTGACATCCCATTACAATCCATGGCAATCAAGCTTTTCACAAGTATCCAGCTGGCTTTTTGTCTCTATATGTGTCAAACAGGCAAGCAGCTGTGAGCCATCAAATACACATCGGGTCATTTGGGAGCTAATCTTTGTAAGAATGAAAACGGGTTTGAGCGCTTACTGACTCCTGCACTGCAGTGTGGAATGAGAAAGCTCCAAGTGAGGCAGCGGGTCCTTAAGTTGGGGTCCAGGACCAGGAGCATCCAAGCGATGCACGTGGGAACTTGTTAAAAATGCATTTCTGGGGCCCTGCTCCAGACCCACTGAAATGGGAGCGCTGGGCGCAGAGTTCAGGATTTGTCTTCGTGAGCCTTCCAGGTGACTGGGATGTACACTCAAGCTTAGAGAGGCCGATTAGTGTGTGGGCGAGGTGGCAGTGGGTAGGTGGGTAGAGGCTGGGAACTGAGACAGTAGCTGGGAAGGAAACCAGTTCAGGACCTCTCCCTCCAAACGCTGCCGTCATCAGATTGCTGAAAGAAGTTTGAAAGGACCTTGAAGGCTGATCTTCCTCAGGGTTAGGAGATAAACACAGCTTGAGCGGGAGTGGAGGTGGATGGCAAGAGTCCTACTGACTCTGTTGGGGTTGAAGCTAAAAGCGTTAAGGTCATAAAAGCTCTGAAAACCACGAATTTCACTGCAAGTTTGGCACCAACATTTTTTTAATGGCAAAACCTGTGTGGAATACACGAGGCTGTTTACAGTCATTCTGTTTATCCCGCTTCGAGTGCGTATTTGTGATCTGCTTTGATAATTCCGTGGATTATGGGGTGTGGCCCCAGATCCTACTGGAGCTCTCCATCATGTAACCTCTCTGCTTTCTAAAATTCTGAGAAATTCTCTGTTCTGAAGCTTATCTGGCTCAAGGATTTCACTTAAGGGATTGTGGATCTGTAGGTTTAAGAACCTGTGGTCCTTTCTCAAAAGCAGCCACCTGGGTCAACTCCTTTTCTCTCTTCTCTTTCTTCTGTAATGACCCGGAGTTTGACATATAGGGGTTCTCTAAGCCAAGGTCTGATGGCTCCAGCCCCAGTGCTAAGGATCGTTCTGTAGTGGAGACAGGGAGTCTGGGAGCTGCTACGAGAGCCTAGAGACCCACTTCTGCTCCCTAGGTTGCAAATTCCTTGAGTGCAAGGCTATAGCCTTGAGCCTTTGAGCACCGGTACCCTGCACACAGCCTGGTGTACTACATGAGTGGGAGGGGCCCTGTGATGGAAAGGCATAAACCAGAGTGATGGAAGCAGCTGTGGTGGCCAGAGCTGAGGGTTATGCTTCGTTACCATCTTACTAGGCCTCTCAGCCATCAGAGCAAAGACGGGAAGTGAGTGCAGAGATGACCTTCTCCTTTTTATTTATATTTTTTAAAAGATTTATTTGATAGAGTGCATGTGAGTTGGGAGGGGCAGAGGGAGAGTGAGACCCCTCAGGCAGACCCCCCGCTGAGCGTGGAACCCCATGTGGGGCTCAATCCCGGGACCCTGTGATCATGAGCTGAAATCAAGTCAGACGCTTAACCAACTGAGCCACCCGAGTGCCCCTCTACTCAGATCTTATTTGTGTATAATGTCCTTTTCCTGTTCCTGGATCTCATCCAGGATACCCCAGGACAGTTTAATCATCCTCCAGCTCCTCCTGACTGTGACAATTTCTCAGATCTTCCTTTTTTTTTTTTTTTAAGTTTTTCCTCATTTTTGAATATCTTGACAGTCTTGAAGAGATTGGGCAGGTACTTTGTAGAATCGCTCTCCAGATTTTGATGGTGTTCTCCTGACTAGCCTGGGGATATGGGTTTTGGGGAGGAGGGCCTCAGAGGTACAGTGCCATTCTCATCCCCTCATGGGAGGACTTAGTCTTCCTTTTGCCGGGGTCGTCCATTGCTTGTTACCTTCCTTCTCTTTATAGCAGGACCCCAGGCTCTCACTCACCTCTACAGAGCTAAGAGTTGACTTTGGGCTGGCTCAGCTGCACTTTCTAGACAAGTATGGCCAGTGAAAAAACCCAGCTCAAACCCAGTTCAAAAACGGAATTTCTTCCTTCTCCCTCTCCTCCTTACAATACCCAGAAGGCTTGTTTCTGCTACAAGATCCAGAAATGCAATCACTGTCATTAGGAACTGGTCTCTCCTGTTCTGGCTTGGAGTCCTCTGGGTTGGCTTCATTCTAGGCTGGCAGTCTCCAAAATTTAGAAAAGAGGATTTCCTGGAAATTTCGGGATCTTTATATAAGCTTTTGAGCTGGGATTTTCAGGGGGAAGAACAGGCTTCAGTGAAAGGCTAGTGGCAGCCGCAGGGGAGGGAGGGGTTGCTGGTCTCTGTGAGGCTGGATGCTTGTTCCAGAATCAGCAGCAAGGGCTGTGCCGCCCTAAGAGCCAGGCCCGATTCATGGGCTGATTCCCTGTGCCTGAGGGGCAGCGCCAGCCCCGTGCCCACCACCTGGATGGCAGAGCAGGGAAGGGAGAGAAAAGATAGTGGGTTATCCCAACTCGATGGTTAAAAGAGAAATACTGATACATGCAGAGGATACCCTGAGAGCAAAAACCATGTATTCGGAGCTTATCCTAGTAGGCCAGGTGTTTCTCTAAGCATTTTACATGTCCTAATTCCTGTAATCTCCAGAACCACCCGGGGAAATACACACCATTGTTACCCTAATCTTACAGACCAGGGAGCCCAGGCACAGAGGGAACTTGTCCGTAGTCCTACTGATAAATGGGGTCAGATTTACCCTGACCCAGCATGTTCTTAGCCATCTTCTGATCCTGACTCTGGAGAATGTGTTGGATGGCGAATGAACTCGGGGCTGTGGCATCTGGCCCAGACCTCCATCCAGGCAAGGTGTTCATTATTCAGGTCTGCAGTTGCTGGACGTGCTGGCTGCTAATTACTTCTGGAGCCCCTTGCTTCTTCTTTTTTTTTTTTAAAGATTTTATTTATTTATTTGACAGAGATCACAAGTAGGCAGAGAGGCAGGCAGAGAGAGGAGGAAGCAGGCTCCCTACTGAGCAGAGAGCCCGATGTGGGGCTCGATCCCAGGATCCTGGGATCATGACCTGAGCCGAAGGCAGAGGCTTTAAC